GCTATTTTCCTACCTTGGAATTATCTTTATCACTTTAACCTTTCTGTACCTCATATTCCCTATCTGTAAAATGAGGTCAAGTGACCCTAGGACCATTTGACCTTCACGAGGTTTTCCGAGGGACCCATCACTCTTAGCTGTAAGAGGCTGGGTTTTGGTAAAAAGACCCAAAGGGGCACATTCCCGCCAGCCTTTTTCGAGAGATCTAAGTTACAAGGTGAGCGAAATACAGCACGTGACGTCCCGCAGCCTCGCTCGGACCCGGTTTGCTAACCGGCGGCTGATTTGTAATAGGTCGTCGGGAGCGGAGGAAGCCCGCCTCCCACAGGAGGAGTCGTCATTGGGCGGTGGGGCCGTCAATCACCGCGTGAATAAATACGGGAGGCGGGCGGCTTCTCGCGCAGAGGCGGAGAAGGTGGTTTGAGCTGGGCGTTCCGCGGTGCCCGGCCTGTCGCGGAGACTCTCCGGGTAATATCTGGCTGTTACTTCAGGCTAACTTGAGTAGGAAATCAGAGGGCCCCCTGCGCTGCTCTCCCCGCCGGGCCGGCGCCATGGCGGAAGCCGCGGCGGGCGCCAGCGGAGAGGCGATGGCGGCGATGGGGGCGGCGGAAGGCTCCTCGGGCCCGCCGGGCTGGAGCCTGGGCCGCGGCTTCGCGAGCTACCGGCCCTTCGAGCCCCAGGCGTTGGGCCTCAGCCCGAGCTGGCGGCTGACCGGCTTTTCCGGCATGAAAGGCTGAGGGTGCAAAGTCCCCCAGGAGACGCTGCTCAAGCTCCTGGCGGGACTGATGGGGCCGCGCGTGCGGCCGCCGCTGGGCTCCGGCGCGCTCGGAGGCCCGGAAGAGGCGGCGCGGGACGCCGGCCCGGCCCCCGCCGCCCTGAGCATCGGGATGGACTCCTGCGTCATCCCGCTGAGGCACGGCGGCCTCTCGCTGGTGCAGACCACCGACTTCTTCTACCCCCTGGTGGAGGACCCCTACATGATGGGGCGCATCGCGTGCGCCAACGTGCTGAGCGACCTGTACGCCATGGGCGTCACCGAGTGTGACAACATGCTGATGCTGCTCAGCGTCAGCCAGAACATGAGCGAGGAGGAGCGGGAAAAGGTCACGCCGCTCATGATCAGAGGCTTCCGGGACGCCGCCGAGGAGGGGGGCACGGCCGTCACGGGCGGCCAGACCGTGGTGAACCCGTGGGTCATCATCGGGGGCGTCGCCACGGTGGTGTGTCAGCCCAACGAGTTCATAATGCCCGACAGCGCCGTTGTGGGGGACGTGCTCGTGTTAACCAAACCCTTAGGAACTCAGGTTGCGGTCAACGCCCACCAGTGGTTGGATAATCCCGAGAGGTGGGATAAGATAAGCATGGTGGTCTCCAGGGAGGAGGTAGAGCTGGCCTACCAGGAGGCGATGTTCAACATGGCCACCCTGAACAGAACTGCGGCCGGCTTGATGCACACGTTCAACGCCCACGCGGCTACAGACATCACGGGCTTTGGCATTTTAGGGCATTCTCAGAACCTCGCCAAACAGCAGAGAAACGAGGTGTCGTTTGTCATTCATAATCTGCCAATCATTGCCAAGATGGCTGCTATCAGCAAGGCCAGCGGGCGGTTTGGCCTCCTGCAAGGAACCTCCGCCGAGACCTCTGGCGGGTTACTGATTTGTCTGCCGCGGGAACAGGCAGCCCGCTTTTGTTCCGAAATCAAATCTTCCAAGTACGGCGAGGGTCACCAAGCTTGGATCGTGGGCATCGTGGAGAAGGGAAACCGCACAGCCCGGATCATCGACAAGCCTCGAGTTATAGAGGTTGTGCCTCGCGGGGCCGCTGCTCCTGCCCTCGCCGCTGATAGTTCTGCCGCCGCCTGTGAGCACAGCTCGTGAACTGGAGCAGCAGAAGCTGTTGGGAACCTAGCGCCTTTGTACGCAATCACGGACGATTTCTCAAGAGTTGATTTTAAGCAATTTTCAGAGAAGGCTGCCTGCGTAGTAGTTCCAGCTGTCCTTTCTGGAGGAGTTAAATGAGCCCATCCAAAGCCGCCTGTGTGCACATTCCAAGGCCAGAAGTAACATTTTGAACTTCGGGGGAGGCGCGTTCATCTCATGGGGTGAATGATCGAGGAGCAGGAAAGTGTTTCCTCTTTCCAAAGCGAGATGAGGCTATTCCAATTTGGGGGATTTTCCTTTGCACTGGATTGGTTCGTTTCTGCACAGGGAGTGAGATTATTAAAATTACATATGCAAGAAGTAAATTGAAAAATGAAAAAAACATTAGAAGCAAATAAGTTTGGACCAATATTGTTGATAAATTGGAATTGTTTTTAAGAGAGATTTTATGATGTAATGCCAAATTCTTTGTTAGGTTTTTCGGAGGAATTGGCCCTTTCCTGCTCTGGACAAGAATTGAGCAGCTTGTCCAGTGACTGGGAAGAGAGGACCTGCGGCCATCTGACCTGGTCTCTGTTCATGATGTCTCTCCCTCCAACCCTTTTCAGGATTGGGTGAGACAGAACAAGCTCCAGAGCCCAGGCTTTGGTGGTTATTAAGATGTCTTGTGCTGAAAAATTCCTGCTGATTTAATTAAATTAAAGAATGATTTTTAGGTAAATAAAAAAGACTTTGTTGGAAAGCTCTTCTGGCTAATGTTTGGTTCTTTTTAAAAAATTTTTTATTTATGTATTTTTTTTCTTTTTAAGTCAGAGTCTCATATGCCATTCAGGCTGGCCTTGAACTCACTTTATAGCCAAAGCTGGCCTTGAACTCAGAGTGAGCCTCTTGCCTCAGCCTCCCAAAGTGCTGGGATTACAGGCATGTGCCACCATGCCTAGGCTGTGTTTTGTTTTTCTGAGACAGGGTCTCATTATGTAGTTCATGGTAGCCTTGAACTATGTAGCCCAGGTAGGGCTTGAACTTGTTGTGATCCTCCTGACTCAGCCTCTTGATTGCTGGAATTACTGGCGAGTGCCACTGTGCCTGACTTTTTTTTTTTTTTTTTAACAGTAGCAAAGTTTTATTAGAGGTGGGAAAAGAAACAGCCTCTGCAGAGCTAGTTGGGGCCAAGTAAAAAGTAGGAAAAGTCCTGGGCATGGTAGCGCGAGCCTGTAATCCCAGCACTCGGGGGCATAAGGGGGCTGAGGCAGGAGGATGGTTGCAAGTTCAAGACCAGAACTGCATATGGAGTCCCTGTCTCAAAAAAAAAAAGAAAAAAAAAAAAGTAGGAAAAGAAATACACGCAACAGTTTGAGGGAGGGTGGGCCACCATGCAAGAGAGAACACAGTGGTCTGTTTGGTTCTTTGCAATGCTGTCTCATTTACAGTCTTCACCCCCAAACCGCCACCTGCAGGGTACTGAACACAGGGAATACTAAACTACATCACAGCCTTTTGTGTTGTTTTCATGGTCCTAACGACAGAACCCAGGGCCTTGTGCATGATAGGCAAGTGCTCGACCATTGAACGACACCTGTAGCCCTTCCCAGTTCTTTTTTATTTTGAGACAAGCTCTTATAAATTTGCTCAAGCTATCCTCAAATTTGCAGTCTTCCTGCCTCGGCCTCCCAGAGCACTGGGATTACAGGTGTGCGCTACCAGGCCTGGCTTCTTTTAAAGACATGAAAAGGGAGAACAGACTGCCCTGGACCCCTTTCTCGGCTGCTAAAAGCCAGGCACAGCACATTCCTATCATCTCAGCATTTAGGGAGTTTGAGGCAGGAGGAGCAAAAGTTTGAACCCAGCCTGG